GTGGTCCCAGCTACTCAGGAGGCTGAGGCAAGAGGATCACTTAAGTCCAGGAGGTTGAGGCTGCAGTGAGCCATCTTCCCACCACTTGACTCCAGTGCTTGTGTCACAAAGTTAGATCCTGTCTCAGAAAAAAAAAAAAAAAAAAAAAAAAAAAAAAAAAAAAAATGATATAACAAGAGGACAGGAAATCAGCAAGGACATAGTAGACTTGAACAGCTATGAACCAACTTGACCTAGCTGACATTTATAAAACACTCAACTAAACTACAGCAGGATAAACATTCTTCTCAAATGCACACAAAAAAACAGTTACACACCAAAAAATCCTACTCTGGAACATAAATTGAGTCTCAATTATTTCAAAAGAATTCAAGTCATACAAAGTATATTCTCTGCCCACAAATACATTAAATTGGAAATCAATAACTGAAAGAGCTCTGGAAAATCCCAAAATATTTGGAAACTAAGTAGCACACATCTAAGTAACCCATGGGTCAAAAACAAAATCAAAAGGGAAATTAGAAAGTTTTCCAAGCAGCATGAAAATGACAATACAACGTATTAGAATTTATAATGTTCCATAAAGCAGTACTAACAGAACTTAGTGCCTATATTAGAAAAAAAGCAAGGTCTCAAATCAATAACTTCAGCTTCCACCTTAGAAACTAAGAAGAAAGACTAAACCCAAATTAAGTAGAAAAAAAGGAATAATAAAGATCAAAGTGGAAATCAATGAAATGGAAAACAAAAGAGTCAATAAAGTAAAACAATGAAACCAAAAGCCGGTCTTTTGAGGAGATTAATAAATTACCAAATTTCTAGCCAGAATGACTAACAGAGACACACAAATCACTCATATCATGAATAAAGAGTTGCATCATTTAAATTTCTTCAGATGTTAAAGATAAAAAGCAAATATAATAAACAACTTTATGGCAACAAATTCAAATACTTAGATAAAATTTTTTTAAAAATCCTTATAAGACACAAATTACCAAAGCTCATTAAAGAAAAAATAAACTGAAAACATGTATCTGTAAAAGCAATTAAAGTTTTAATTTAAAACATCCCCACAAAGAAAACTCCAAGTCCAGATTCTGACAAATATTTAAAGAAGAAATAATGCTAATCCAATATAAACTCCTCCAAAAATTAAAGAGAGGGAGATACTTTCCAACTTATTCTATGAAGCTAACAATACTCTAACACTAAAATCCAGAAAAAAAGCATTACAAGGAAATACATAGATCAATATTCCTCTTGAACTTAGATACAAAAATTCTAAGCAAAAATTTAGCCTGTCAAATGCTAAATTATATATTTAATAAATATATAAACAAAACAAAAAATAAATATATGTATTTATTAAATAAAATAAATATATATTTAATAAAGAAAATATATATTTAATAAATATGTATTTGGTAAATCATATATTTAGCATGTCAAATGCTGAATTATATATGCATTAAAAGAATAGTATACCTGGGCCAAGTCAGGTTTATTCCCCACCACGCTGTCTAATTTTTTGAGGGATTTTTTTTATAGAGACAGGGTTTCACTGTGCTGTCCAGGCTGGTCTCAAACTCCTTATCTCAAGTGATCCGCCTGCCTTGGCCTACTACAGTGATGGGATTATAGGCACTGTGGTGAGAGGACCATGTATTAGGCTGAAACAAGGTTAAAAAAAAAAAGTGCTACCACGTGGTTTAAAACCTTTGAGCTACCTTGGGATTGTCAACAAAAAGACAGGAGGAAGACAAAATGAAGCTTTGTTAGAATGTGATGGAGAAAGTTCAATTCTCTAAAATTTCCAGAAGAATACCTAGAAGGGGGAGGGGCTTTTAAAGTTGTCTTCAAAGACTTTGTCTCACACTTAGCTTTTTTTTTTTTTTTTTTTGAGACAGGGTCTCGCTCTGTGGTTCCAGGCTGGACTGCAGTCACATGAACTGCAGGCTCAACCTCCTGGGCTCAAGCCATCCTCTCACCTCAGCCTTCCAAGTAGCTGGGACTATGGCCAGGCTCATTTTCTTTTTTTATTTTTCTAGAGACAGGGTCTCACTAGGTTGTCCAGGCTGGCCTCAAACTCCTGACCTCAGCAATCCTCCTGCCTCAGCCTCCCAAATGCCACAAGCCACTGTGCCCAGTCATGCTTACCATTTCTTTGTTGGTTTTTTTTTTTTTAAGACGTGGTTTCACCATGTTGGTCAGGCAGGTCTTGAACTCCCGACCTCAGGTGATCCACCCGCCTTGGCCTCCAAAGTGTTTGGATTACAGGCGTGAGATACCACACCTGGCCATGCTTACCATTTCTAAAAAAAAAAAAAACTAAACCTCTTCCTCAGAGGGAGTCAGAGGTGATTCCAGCAGGCAGATTGGAGCTGAGCATCACAGATAAATAAGCCCTGACTGTCCCTTTAAGGTTTTTTTGGAAGGGGGATGAGAAATACTTCCTTCCATATGCTCTCTGTGACCAAGGCAAAAAGACCCAGTATCCTCATTTCTAGGGTTCTGTGCTTCTAGTCTCAAGTCTCATAGATCAAGGAGAAGCCAAACTGTGTGTCTGCTCTCTCCATCTGATTGTAACATAGCCCAACTGTCTTAATCCCTGGACGTACACACACACACACACACACACACACACACACACACACACACACACACACATATAACATAGCACATCTTGCCCACCCGCTACTCCACTCTGGAGAAGCAATGACGGTTATTTTGGAATTTGGCTCAGAAGTTGACACAGATACATTTAGGCCACCATCATTGCCCCAAAGGTTTCCCAGAAGGAGAAATACAACAGGATAAATTTTGAAATCTCTCCAGGGAATCTTTGGATGTGGCATGCTTTTCCAGTTTCTCTTCCATGGAGACAAGTGAATGATTGATCCTATTGTTCATTGCCTTGGGAGGAAAAAAAGCAACACAAAGTCAGACATGTTGCAAATGCTCCTGACGTTTTCATCTAAATTTTAAGCTGCAAAAAGATGATTCAGAAGTATGGACACATTAGGGCATCTTGGCCTGTAATTGCAGCACTTTGGGAGGTCAAGACAGGAGAATCACCTGAGGTTGGGAGTTTGAGACCAGCCTGACCAACATGGAAAAACCGTGTCTCTACTAAAAATACAAAAATCTAGCTGGGTGTAGAGGCACATACCTGTAATCCCAGCTACTTGGGAGGCTGAGGCAGGAGAATCACCTGAACGCAGGAGGCAGAGATTGCGGTGAGCCAAGATTTCGCCATTGCACTCCAGCCTGGGCAACAAGAGTGAAACTCTGCCTCAAAAAAAAAAAAAAAAAAGAAAGAAGTTCCTCTAGGCTGAGTGAAAGAGGAGAAAAGGAGGAAAAGAGGTTGCTGAGGCTAGAGTTGGAGGAGGAGAAAGAAGAGGGTTGTGTTCTGGCAGCAATATCCAAAAGGCTACAGAACTTGGGAGAGGCCAGGTTGGAGATGCATCTATGCAAACAGATACAGGGGCAGGGTTGGCTGGGCACCATGTGCTGAGCATGCTGGACCACCTAAAGGCCAGAAAACATGCACATCTCAAAGATCCCCTGTAAGAAGGGATGACCAAGGACCAAACGTCCCTGATCAAATCCCAAAAGCATAACATGTAATATGACTCTCAGAAGTGGGGGTTACAATTATCAACCAAACCCTCAAGATGTGAGTTCAAAATCAAAGAAAGTAACTGTGTTCTAACAATAAAGGCATACTTCTTTCACACCTTTGTTCGTGGATTAGATTCATACTTTATACATAAACACATGGTGTGTTTAGATTTTTTTTTTTCTTGTAGAGACAGGCTTTCTACACTTTACCCAGGCTGGTCTCAAACTCCTGGACTTAAGTGATCCTCCCACCTCAACTTCCGAAAGTCCTATGATTACAGGCATGATCCACTATACCTGGCCTGATGTTTTATTTATTTATTTATTTATTTATTTATTTATTTATTTATTTATCTATCTATCTTTCGAGACAGAATTTCACTCTGTCACCTAAGCTGGAGCGCAGTGGTGCAATCTCCACCTCCTGGGTTCAATTGATTCTCCTACCTCAGCCTCCCAAGTAGATGGGACTACAGGCATGAGCCACCATGCCCAGCAAATTTTTGTATTGTTAGTAGAGACGGTGTTTCGCTACGTTGGCCAGGTTGCTCTCAAACTCCTGATTTCAAGTGATCCGCTGGCCTTGGCCTTTCAAAATGCTGGGATTATAGGCGCACCATGCCCAGCTTGGTTAAACATCTAAATTAAACATTTAAGGCCAAGTGCAGTGGCTCAAGTCTGTTATCCCAGCACTTTGGGAGGCTGAGGAGGGTGGATAACCTGAGGTCAGAAGTTTGAGACCAGCCTGATACACATGGTGAAACCCCATCTCTACTAAAAATACAAACATTAGCTGGGTGTGGTGGCGAGTACCTGTAATCCCAGCTCCTTGGGAGGCTGAGGCAGGAGGATCGCTTGAACCCAGGAGGTGGAAGTTTCAGTGAGCCAAGATTGCACCACTGCACTCCAGCCTGGGTGACAGAGCAAGACTCTGTCTCAAAGAAAAAAAAAAGGAAACAGCCCTGTCAACACCTTGATTTAAGACTTCTATCCTCCAGAATTGTGAAACAATAAATTTCTGATTGGTTGAGGTCAGGAGTTCAAGACCAGCCTGGCCAACATTATAAAACCTTGTCTCCACTAAAAAATACAAAAAAAGAAAAAAAAAAAAAAAACTAGCTGGGTGTGGTGGCACATGTCTGTAATCCCAGCTACTCAGGAGGCTGAGGCAGGAGAATCTCTTGAACCCAGGAAATGGAGGTTGCAGTGAGCCAAGATCACACGATCTGCCTGGGGGACAAAAGTGAAACTCCATCTCAAAAAAATAAAAATAAACAAATAAATGTGACACGCATTTTACTCTAGAATACATCTATCTTTTTCAATTTATACATTTTTTAAATTCCTTTCTAGTAAAATCGCTAATTCTCTTTGAAAAGCAGAATCTGGCTTACTCAGAAGCCGGGTAAAAGCTCAGCCCATGCAGCCAGCATTCTGCATGAAGCATCCTGAGACTTCTACCAACAGATGGCAGCCGCTGCCTAGAGATGCTACAACCAGCGGAGGCCGCCTCTGTAACACCTTGCAATAAGCTCACAGAACACTAGAGGGTCCTGAGAACTGTTGGCGGGGGCAGGGGCTGAATCAGAAAACATCTGGTCAGGGGCCGTCTTCCCTGTACAACCACAGGTACACACTCCCGCCCTCATTCACTTCAAGGGTCCTGTTATCTTCTCTACAGGTGTGTCTATTATATACACGCACAAATACGCACGTGCATGCCACGCTGCACAAGATGTCCAAGCTGAGAAAAGGCTCCTGAACTACCAAATCTCAAGATTCAGAAGGATCTTGCAGCTATCTGTTCCCGACTTCCTATTTTAAACACAAAAGTCACTGGAGATCTAGCACATTCAGTAACAGTTTCAGTGGCAGTGCTTATCAGACCTCATTGTCAAGCAGGGTGCCAGCTGGGGAGGATGAACGCCACACATCCAGGAACACATCCACAACCCACGAAGAGCTGGAGTTGACAGTGCTGCTCATGCCAGGCTCTGTGATGTCACTTGATTCCCTTTTTCACTTCAGGAAACTGATTTTCAGTGCAGAAATTACCTCTCCATTGTCATACATTACCCAGTGGTAGAAAGGAGATTCGAAGCCAGATGTGTCTGATTCCAAACCCCATTCTTTCTCCTATTCCAGCATTTTCTAAAATACTGGAAAAACAAAAATGTCCAGTTCTCTGAAAGAATTTAGTGTCACTTGCAATTGTTTTCTTTTCCCCAATAAAATCCAGTCAAATGACACAAAGAGTTTTGCTAAGTGCTAAATAGGAATTGTCCTACCAAAGGCAAGCCATAGCTGAATGGAATGAAACTCGGAATTCTAGCCAACGTGAATTCTCAAAGGTATTATATAAAATGCAGTTTTCTGTAATCACAATAGTACCTAAAATGCCGCAAATACCACATATACTTAAGTTATATGAAAATTGCCAGACTCTCAAAAAGATTAATAAATAAAATAAACTGTGCACTCTTAGGTTTTTGGTTGGTTGTTTTGTTCGGTTGGTTGTTTTTGAGACAGAGTCCTGATTTGTTGCCCAGGCCGGAGTGCAGTGGTGCGATCTCAGCTCACTGCAACCTCCGCCTGTTAAAATGTCATGGTAAGAATTTAGAACCATATCACTCCTGCTTGTTTGGTTTTAAAAAAATAAAATTTAATTTTAAAAAATATTTTTAAAAATTGGCACCACAGGAGATGTCTGACCTAGGCAAAGTAGAGTGAGATGATCACTTTTATTGTTTAGAACTTCAACCTTTTATTAATACAACTCAAGCACATATTGATGTGTTGATGATAATGGCCTGTGGCCAGCAGTAGCATATGTGAAAACGGAATCCTGAGTCAGAGTTACTTTACATCTTACTTCAAACTAAGGGCTGAGTGTGGTGGCTCATGTCTGTAATCCTAGCACTTTGAGAGGCTGAGGAGGCAGGTGGATTGCCTGAGGTCCGGAGTTTGAGACCAGCCTAACCAACATGGTGAAACCCCACCTCTACTAAAAATATGAAAATTAGCGCCAGGTGCAGTGGCTCATGCTTGTAATCCCAGCACTTTGGGAGGCCAAGGCAGGTGGATCACCTGAGGTCAGGAGTTCAAGACCAGCCTGACCAACATGGTAAAACCCCATCTCTCAAAAAATAATAATAATAAATTAGCCAGATGTGGTGGCAGGTGCCTGTAATCCCAGCTATTCAGGAGGCTGGGGCAGGAGAATTGCTAGAACCCAGGAGTCAGAGATTGCAGTGAGCCAAGATCACACCATTGCACTCCAGCCTGGGGGACAGACTGAGATCTGTATGTTCCTTGCCAGACACAGTTTTCTAGAAACTCCTTCAAAGATGGAGTTAATAATTAAAACATCCACAAGAGCCTTCATTAAAGGTTACATGAAGTTATGTGAAAGGGTTTACTTAAACTCACAAAAGGAAGGAAAGAGCTATAAGTGGGCCAGACACCATGCCTTAGATTAAGGCAGGAGAATAGCTTCCAGTTTGAAGTCAAAGTTTGTTCTTACTTTTAAGGCTCTTTCAGGTGCTCAGTGTGAGACAAAGCAGCAAGTGCTAAGAGGCCATAGTTGCTCATTTCTGCTTGAACCCCTGACTCCGTGATAAAATACAGCTCTCGGGAAGAATGTCTTAAAGTCAGAAGAGGATTGCACACACAGCCTCCCACCTCTCTCTCGCCTGAGTCACTGAATTCCTTAAAAGATAAATGAGGCCAGGTGCAGTAGCTCATACCTGTAATCCCAACACTTAGGGAGGACAAGTCAGAAGAATTGTGGGGCCAGGAGTTAGAGATCAGCCTGAGCAACATAGCAAGACCCATTCTCAAAAATCAATTTTTTGAAAGGTAAATGATCCTTGCCTTGCCTTTTCCTACACATAAAATAATGTCCAATAGGGTTAGTGGTTATGCTTCTATAAGCTATAACCAGATCTACTCTTATATCCAAACTTTGATGTGATTCTGCTTTAGTGTAACTTCTGAACACGTTGAACGTAACTTTTTTTCACTCTGTCGCCCAGTCTGGAGTGCAGTGGCGCAATCTCAGCTCACTGCAACTTTCACCTCCCAGGTTCAAGCGATTCTCCTGCCTCTGCCTCCTGAGTAGCTGGGACTACAGGAGTGCACCACCATGTCCAGCTAATTTTTTATATTTTTAGTAGAGATGGGGTTTTGCTATGTTGGCCATGTTAGTCTCGAACTCCTGACCTCAAGTGATCCACTCGCGTTGACCTCCCAAAGTGCTGGGATGACAGGCGTGAGCCACCGTGCCTGGCCTGGATGTGATTTTACACGTACTGAACCTCTGCCACCTGTATATGAGCAGTGGCCTGAAGCACTGCTGGAGCAGTCTGATAGGACACCTCTAACAGCCCACTCCCAGAGTGTATGCTTCGCTTTCCAGCCCTCAGTAAGACTTCTGAATAAAACAATCTTTAATTCTTTTTTTTTTTTTTTTTTTTTGAGACGGAATCTTGATCTGTCACCCAGGCTGGAGTGCAGTGGTGCAATCTCAGCTCACAGCAACCTCCGCCTCCCAGGTTCAAGTGATTCTCCTGCCTCAGCCTCCCAAGTAGCTGGGATTATAGGCATGCGCCACAATGTCTAGCTAAATTTTTGTATTTTTGGTAGAGACAGGGTTTCATCAGACTGGTCTTGAACTCCTGACCTCATGATCCACCCACCTCAGCCTCCCAAAGTGCTGGGATTACAGGCGTGAGCCACCATGCCCGGCCACTATCCTTAATTCTTTAAAAGCTTGATGTTTTACCTTTAGTCAACATTAGCATGATTTAAACAGAACTACTGGGAGGAATTAAATGTTGTGAATTTGTATACTGGTTTCTGTTTCTCCAAATTGTGGTTAGAAAGGCAGAGTTCAAATCCTAACTTTTGGCCAGGTACAGTGGCTCATACCTATAATCCCAGAACTTTGGGAAGTAGGTGTATCATTTGAGACCAGGAATTTGAGACCTGCCTGGGAAACATGGTGAAACCTAGTCTCTACCAAAAAACAAAAGTTAACCAGTCTCACAATCCATCACTAAATAAATAAACATTTAAAAATAAAACTTAAAAAAAAAATCCTCACTATTGAGCACAGTGAATCTCTCCCAGTAAAGTCTCAAGCCTGACTGCACTTGTCGCCCTGCTCTCCACACTCTGCAAGCTGACTCAGGCCTGGGGTTTATCTGAATCCCCTCAGTGAGCTATGATCTTGCCACTACTCTCCAGCCTGGGTGACAGAGCAAGACCCCTACTTAAAAAAAAAAAAAAAAAAAAAAAAAATCCAGGCATGGTGGCTCATGCCTGTAATCCCAGCACTTTGAAAGGCCAAGGTGGGTGAATCACTTGAGGCCAGGAGTTCAAGACCAGCCTGGCCAACACAGTGAAACCCCATCTCTACTAAAAATGTAAAAATTAGCCAGGTGTGGTGGCATGCACCTGTAATCCCAGCTATTCAGGAGGCTGAGGCACAAGAATCACTTGAGCTGGGGAGGTGAAGGTTACAGTGAGCCAAGATCATGCCACTGCACTCCAGCCTGGGTGACAGAAAATGACTCTGTCTCAAAAAAGAAAGACAAAAACCTCATCAGGCTGGTGGGACATCTCTCACCCACCTCCTACCTGGGAACATCTAGACTTTGACTGTACTACCTTGTTCTTTGACGTCTTCTAGCTTTGACCAGTGCTGCTCCGTCTGGCAACATCTGTCCTTTTTCTGCCTAATAAACTTCTTACTCGTTTTTCTAGGCTCAGCCTAGATGTTCCTGCCATCCCAAGCTGGATGTCTGTTCTGCAATCTCTAGCAGTTGCACTTGAATTTAGTAACACTTGTCACTGTGCTTAGAGAACCCCACATCACCATTCCCTCCTTCAAGCTGCTCATAGGCCTGCGGCAGATGCAGTGTATACTTTCATAATTTTCCTGTTTTTCAGCGTCTCCTAGGGTGGCTACTTCTGCTCTCAGCACATAATGGTTGACCACTGAGAGTGAAGGCACACAGTGGGGAGGGGACACCAAGGCAGTTGAGGGCCGCATTGGACACGGTTGAACTTACTGCCATTGAATGCTCATGGGAAGAGTCTGGTACCTGCTTCTCTCTGTCAGTGGGCAGATCTCCCAGGGCCTCCTGAAATTACGTGGAGTTACACAGGTTACATGGAGTTATGTAAAGTTATGTGGGCTACATGGAGAAGACTGGACTCAAGGCTGAGGGCACTAGGGAGCCTCTGAGGGTTTTAAGCAAGGAAGAGATGAATGGCTGCTTGTTTTAGAAGGATTCCACTGGTTGCTCTATGGGGAATGTTCTGAATGAGTGAGACGAGTCATGCAGTTCATTGAGGGGCTTTGGGTGTGGCTCAAGAGAACTGCTGATGATGGCAGCCATGCGGATGGAGAAAGGCAGGTGGTGAGGAGGAAATGACTGGGACTGAATCCCCACTTTGCTCCTTCTGGCTATGGATCTTGGGCACCAACTTCATAGCATCACTGTGAGGAATAAATGAATGAATGAG